TGAATATCGGACAGATGTTATTCACTGAGTTCATTATCGCCGTTACTTTTGCCATATTGGAGTTCGCTAGATTTGTTGTTGCCAGTTCTTGAATCACCCCAGTTTACGTTACTCGCGGTTGCAATGTATCCACGCCCGGAGTTGCTGGTCTATTAAATGTGTCCAGCTCTCTCCTCGTGTTTTCCAATTGCACCTTCAATGTTTCAATAACGTCCTGTTCCACTAATTTACCGCCCTGTTAACTGCTCCGAAATTTCCTCCTCCGACTTGCCTAGATTTCTAAGACTCTGAATAAGCCGTTCGTTCTCTTCCTCCGCCGTTTTTAAGAGTTCGGTCAATTCCTCTTGCCTTTTCCTAAACCTTGTACACTGTACTTCCAAACCAATTTTAGTTTCCTGTAACTGTACGTGCTCTTTCCGTTGCTCGTCCGATTTAATATCCTCCACTTCCTCGATTAAATCCAACAGATACGTTATTTCCGCCAGTTGTGACAAACGTCTTGATTTTATGGTGTCCTTATGTATCTGTATAAAATCCCTGTTCTGTTGTAAAGCACCTAATTTCCGCCACGCATGTACCTGAATGGAGGCTATGAATGTTCGAAACTCATGGACCTCTTGCGCTAGCTTCTCCGCTCTTGATTGAGCGTCATTCATCTATCCGTATTACTGAATATTAGTAATAGCTATCTGAATTCGAATATAACTATAATAATAAAAAAACGCTTAGCTCACTGAAGATCAGTTAAAAAAAATGTATGCCAATGGAAACCTGAATATTCAAAAGTAATAATAACTCTTATATCTTCGTGGTAAACTTTTCGAAATATTCCGTTCTCAAAAGTACTCGAAGCATCGAAAAAAAAAAATGAAAGGGTGAAAAATTTCAGTGATTTCAGCTGGTGTTAGTGCACTTTTCACTAACACTTTCAAGAGCTGTACGGCAAATTGTTGTTGTGCGAAAAAACAAATTTTAGTTCACAACGGAGTTGCCGTTCTTGTAAGGTATTCTTTGATAGAAACCATTCAATAATCAAAAAGGTAGAAGGAGAGGAGAGAGAGAGAGAAAAAAAATTTTTATACTGAGTTAACTTCATATATTTTAAAGAAATATATAATTCTTTTATATTCTTTGAAAAACCCGTATCAACCGTAATATTCGAATATTTACAATTAAATATTGCATTATTAATTATATGATTTAAATAAATATACCATGTTTATTATACTTTTAAGATCAATTCACATTCTTGATCCCAAGTTAATAAACACGATAGTAAAACGAATTCCCAGCACAAAATACAGCACAAATTGATAAATAAATCAATAAAACGCCTTCCCAAGGATAATTAAATTCAACAGAGAAAAAGGAAACAATGAATAAATCAAAAATACAGCAGCAGTAATTCCGCTGCTTGCGTACTCGGTAATTACCGAATGGTACTCGTATTTCTCACGACCAAAACCATATATTTATATATATCTATATAATATATGGATTATATATATTAACTGACAATATTAATGTTTCAAAATATTGCGACTTTGAGATATAATTAACAATTTACTAAATAAATAATAAAGAAAAACCACAATAAGGTAGTATACATACATGTATTTCAGATTGATCATTTCGACGCGATGGTTCTGCAAATTTCAATTGTCAAGAAATTAAGTAGACATTTTTGACACAGTGAGTGCATAATACGAACGAAAATTGCTCATTAAAAAGTGCAATAGATAAAAGTGGAATAGATTTCATCAAAAGAGATTATTTTTAATCTATTTAATTAAATTCTCATTAACCCTTAAAAATTTTATACAACAGCTTATGAATAAAATATATTTGAATCGGTCATAAACTAATGTTCCTAGCCATTTGACTTAAAAAACATTAAACAGATCAATTCTAAACTAATAACATTATTAGAAATCAAATAAGTTTGAAACAAGGAAAAACATCATCGCTTGTGGGGAAACTCCTAGACTGATATGATATCACTAAAAATAGTAACTCAATATTTTTCTTCCCACCTATTTTAAAACATTTAGCAATAAGCAATACAAAAATTGCGTATTTTCAAGTACTTACGGAAAAATTTTGCAGTTTTAATAAAAGTCAATAAAACCCTTTTCAACAAATGTGTCACGACTATCACTGAAATAATGAATGGTTCAAGAAAATCAAATGTTAATTAAAATTAACGGAGATTCGTGAATATATACAATAGTATTACAAAAAAAAAATCTAAACTAGAAACAATTGCGTTATATAGCTATGTTGATGGAAAATTCAACAATAACTGGTTATATTACACATATTGAAAATTTAGAAAATATAGTTTTTATAATTGATATTAGTACAACAGATGTACTGCTTTGAGAGAAACTTGTCAGTAAGGAAATTTAATAAAAATATACGACTTTATCCTCGAACAATGTTATAATTGAGTTAAAATCAGATAATGTTGATAATAGCTATTGTACCAAGAAGAATTTTTCTTAGTAACCGCAAAAACTGAAAAAGAGACGACAAAAGAAAACACGTTGGTTTTTAGTTCGAGTTTGATCAAGACTGATCGTTTTTTATTAAAACCTTACATTGTGCAACAGGGTTGCCAATAATACAAAAACTTTCGTTATTTTGTATTGTTACCCAACATCCCGGCCTCCTTGAAAGGACTTTTAATAGGTAAAATGGCTAGTTTGTGGATAGGTCTGCGAATGATGCCCTTTGTGGTACGTACGTCAACTACTCTGACATGCTCGTCCTTGCCTGGTATGACCTTCAGAACTCTTCCGAGTTGCCAATGTAGTGGAGGCACATTGTCTTTATGAATTAACACCATTGCATTGGGCATGATATTTGGTATTTCACAGGTCCATTTTGTGCGCATCTGTAGCTCATTTATGTATTTATGAGACCACCGCTTTCAAAATGATTGTTTCAAACCGATGATGAGGGACCACTTGTCGAGCATGTTAGTATTAGCAGATTCCGTCCGCTCCGGTAACGCCTTTAGAGAGCACCCAATCAAAAAATGGGCAGGAGTCAATGCTTCGTAGTCGCTAGGATCTGGCGAAAGTTGTGTCAATGGTCGAGAGTTGAGAATAGCTTCTATCTCGGTTGTTACTGTTGACAGCTCCTCAAAAGTTAACTTAGTAGTCCTCAAACTTCTATATAAGTGCCCTTTTGCGGATTTAACTGCAGCCTCCCAAAGACCGCCAAAATGAGGTGCCCTGGGAGGAATAAAGTGAAAATTAATGAATTCAGACGCGCAGTACTGAATGATAGAAGATTGGGTTATTTTATTAAACAAGAATGACTTTAGTTCTGTCAATTGATTCGAAGCCCCAACAAAATTGGTTGCGTTATCGCAAAATATATCACTTGGTAAGCCTCTCCTGCCAATTATTCTTTTTAATGCTGCAATGAACGCGTCTGTTGACAAACTTGATACAACTTCGATGTGTACTGCTTTTGTTGCCATACAAATAAAAATGGCGATATAAGTTTTGTATGGAGGCTTCCCTCTTATACGTAAATACGTGTTGAATGGTCCACAAAAATCTATACCACAGCGCGCAAACGGCCGTGACGGTGTGAGACGTTCTACCGGTAAATTGCCCATCATCTGTTGCAATAGCTTTGGCTTATAATGCACGCAGTGAACACATTGTCTGACTACTCTTCGAGCAACTTCTCTGGCGTTTATAATCCAAAACTCTAAACGAATGAGTGCCACTAGTGCCTTAGGTCCAGCATGATAATTCTTACGATGCAAGTAACGAACATAACGTATGACGAATTCAGATTTGCTAGGCAGCAGGATAGGATGTTTACGTTCTTTTGCAAGATCAGCCAATTCTAATCGTCCACCAACCTTTATCAGCTTATACCCACCGGTATCTTCAATAAATGGGTTGAGGTATTTTAATGAACCTTTTGTTATAGATCCTCGATTCAATAAATAAATATCTTCAGCAAAGTACTGAGCTTGTATATTTGAAATGATGCATCGGAAGGCGTGGTCTAATTCTTTATGAGTAAGGACTTCTGTAAAGACATTGCGGTTGAACTTCTTCTTATAATGATGATACCAACGAAACAACCAAGCCAGTACACGAACAGCCGTTGTATGTGAGCTATACTTATCAATAATATCTATGACATAATTGGTTGATACAGTTACCTTGAATGCTGCTTTTCGTTTCTTTTCGTTATTGACTTCTTCAAAATCCAAGTTGTCGTTCTTGTTTGCAGGCCACTTATACATCTCTTGACGAAGAAATGAAGGTCCTTTAAACCAAATAGAATTAGTGACATCCTTAACAGTGCTGCCTCTTGACACAATGTCTGCTGGATTACAATTTGTGTGGACATATCTCCAATGTGAACCTGCGGAGAAGTCTTGAATCTCAGAAACTCTATTGCCTACGAAGGCAGACAGTGTGGCCGAATGCATTTTGAGCCAATGTAATACGATTTGGGAATCAGACCATAGATAGACGTCCGTATCAAACTTTTCGAAGAGCGATTTAATTTTGTTGTAAAGTCTTGCAAGTAGCAGTGCTCCACAAAGTTCTAATTTTGGAAGCGATTGTTTTTTTAGCGGAGCTACTCTAGATTTGGCTACGAATAGTTGAACCTCTATGAGGTTGAAATCATCTGTGACGCGAATGTAAATGCTGCAATCATATGCGCGAATCGATGCATCGCAGAACCCATGGAGCTGAATTGTTTTTGCTTTTGGTTTTAGACAGTACCTTGGAATGGTAATGGTGTTCAATGATGACAAATCGTGACAAAGCCTTTCCCATGCTGAATGTAAATTTTGAGGAATGGATTCGTCCCAATCCAATTTAAGCAGCCATAGCTCTTGCAATAATATTTTAGTTGATATGGTTATTGGAGCTAATAGTCCTAATGTGTCGAATAGTGACGACGCAATTGATAAAATAGTTCTTTTTGTGATGCGGCTGATAGAATTTGGTTTAACATTAAATGAAGGAATAAATAAATTGATCCCATTTCAGTCCCAATGTGCTGGTAATAACATCCGAACCTATATTGAGATCTTTGATAGTAGTGTCATCTCTAAAAGCTTGATGATTTGAGTGCCATTTAGCTAATTCGAAACCTCCCTGTTTTAGAAGCTCTTCCAATTCGTATCTTATTTGATGTAACTCAGAAAGAGAATCTGCACCATGCAATAAGTCATCAACATAAAACGAAGATTTGATTACTTCAGCTGCAATCTTGAATTGATCCACATATTGATGCGCTATATACAATAGGCAACGAATGGCAAGGTATGGTGCAGCAGCTGTTCCATATGTAACTGTGTTGAGCTGGAAAGTACGAATATTGGTAGATGGTGAACTTCTCCAAAGAATGTACTGAAATTTTCTATCTTCAGGATCAATCAGAATTTGCCTATACATCTTCACTATGTCAGCAGTAAGAGCGAATCGAAATAAGCGAAAACGTAACAAGAGGATGAACAATTCAGTTTGAAGAGTAGGTCCAATCATCAAAATATCATTGAGAGATTTCTGAGAAGAGGTTCGACATGATGCGTCGAATACGACTCTTAATTTCGTCGAGGTGCTGGTTGGCTTCAATACGCAATGATGCGGAATGTAATAATGAGGTTCATCAATATTTGGATCTTTTACCTCAATCATGTGACCAAGGTTTTGATATTCTTCCATAAAGGCAACATATTGCGTTTTGAGCTCAGGCGACCGTCACAATCGATTTTCTTGTGCAATAAATCTGCGCAACGCTGTACCGTATGAACTGCCTAAACACTGAGGACTATCCTTAAATGGCAACCTTACCATAACTCTACCTGCATCTGTTCTGCATACTGTTTCTGAAAACAAATGATCACAAACTTGTTGTTCACTAGTCCAAGCATGTGGAGTGATCGAGACTTCTTCTAGCTTCCATAAACGTTCTAACTTTTCCTCGACAGAGTCAATTGATGAAAGGAAACAATTTGAATTATTAACGCATTGTGAAACATCATATCTACCTGAAACAATCCAGCCCAAAATAGTTTTCTGTAACGTTGGTAATCCTAATCCAAGTTTAATCTGACCTACTGACAGGACACTAAAAAAGCTTTCAGTGCCAAGCAGTAAATCAATACGGGTTGATTTGTAAAATTGTTCGTCAGCAAGGTTAATATTTGGTGGTACGTTCCAAGTTGAGATGTTTATTTCAGAATCTGGTTGATACGCAATATGTGATGTTATACAGAATGTCAATGGAAGTTGAAAAGCCGTGAATCGAGATTTGATAGTAGTTGATACCTTTGCTGTAATTCTTGTCGATGAATTTCCGATGCTGTTAATTTCAATATTATGCTTGGCCATGGGTATGCGAAGTCTTTGAGCGAAATCATTAGTGATGAAGTTCACCTGTGAACACGAATCTAGTAACGCCCTACCCAAATGATAGCATCCAGATGCATCCTGTATTAGAACTAGCGCTGTAGCTAAGATGACATTACTTGTCGATGACTTCTCTAAATGTGTATGCGTCACAGCATCTCTAGAAGTAGTAGCTACAGCTGACACCATTGATGACTGTGGAGTAGGATGAACTGAGTTGAAAGGTGTTGTAGCATTGAAGGTGTTGCTACGATGTAACAAGGTGTGATGTTGATCTGAACAAATTTTACATCTATAAGTTGATGGACAGTTAGAACGTTGATGTCCTTTTGATAAACAATTGATGCACAGTGTGAATCGCTTTACAGTGTCAAAACGTTGTGCAGTTGATAAACTTTTAAACCGTTCACAGCCATTGAGCTTGTGATTCGCACTTGAACAAAATATACAAGAGGATTTAGTGCAAGAAAAAGCATAATCTTTGTGAGATTTTTTTATTTTTGACAATTTATCATTGGTGTGCACATCTGATACACAAGGAGACGTTTTATCCAGAGATTGAAGATATTGACAATGTCTCTCTAAAACGGCAGTACAATCGTTCCAACATGGCAACCTTTTGAAATCCAACGATTCCTTCCACTTTCTTCTCGTCCCTTCGTCACACTTTTGCATCACAATATGAATCAACATTGCTTGTGCAATGTCACGATCCGAACCCAATGATAGCAGTGAACTATAAATTGCTGACGCAGTATCGATTAAACTTCGCAATTTATCACCTTCCGGTTTGGAAGTACCAGGAAGATCGAAAAGGGCTGATACGTTTTCCATAAAAATAAGCGTTGGATTGTCATATCTCTCCTTCAATCTATTTAAAGCCTTTGCAGCGACAGCACTGAAAATTGACGATGATCGCAGTAGCAGCAACAGTATAAGAACTCCAAACAAATGCAGCAAGCAGCGACAGACTAACTGCAAAGAACCGTAAAACAAACGGCAATAAACTATAAAGCGAGTCGGCGACGATGGCCTTGAATTAAACACGAGATTTAATTTAAATATAATTATATGGAGCACAAGAACCGTAGAACAAACGGCAGTAACAATGCAACAAAACGGCGACGACGGCCTGAAAATGATACAAGAACCGTAAAACGAACGGCAGCTACAAAGCAACAAAACGGCGACGACGGCCCGAAAATGAGACTGTTCTAGTTTTTATTATTAAATATACAACATATATTATATATTTAATATATATTAAATATATCACTTTCAAATGTCTAAATTATACTTTGACAAGTATCTATCGTGCCCCACGTTGGGCGCCAAAAAATGTACCAAGAAGAATTTTTCTTAGTAGCCGCAAAAACTGAAAAAGAGACGACAAAAGAAAACACGTTGGTTTTTACTTCGAGTTTGATCAAGACTGATCGTTTTTTATTAAAACCTTACATTGTGCAACAGGGTTGCCAATAATACAAAAACTTTCGTTATTTTGTATTCTTACCCAACAGCTATTTTTACGAAACTTGGTTCCGGTAACCAGCTATAAATAGTTTAATAGAAACTATAAACAACATCATTAGATTCCAATCGACTTCAAGTCGAAAAACAAGATAAAAAAAAAACGACTTCTCAGTGAATAAAGGATTCAACAGAAAAGGAACAATAAAACAAAATACCCAATGTTAATAGACCAATCAATAAAACAACTTCCCAAAGAGTAAGGTATTCCACAGAGAGAGAAAAAAAAACAACAAATAAAACCAAAAATCCAACAACAGTGATTCTATTGCCTATGTACTCATTAGATCTATTATAAATCGCTTAAAACGCTTTACACGCCCGACAACAGAAATATGTTTTTCTCAACAAATTCTGTTAATCTGTTATTTTTCTTTTATAAAATTATAAACTTACGTTTAGCTATAAAGAATTGACATATTGAACTTATTATACATACAACTATGTTGTAAATTTAGTTTTAAATTTTTCCGCAACGCACTACTAAGTTCGTTACTTTTATTTAAATTATTTTTAAAATACGATTTTATAGTCGACTAAATGCGGATTCTAAAGTTAATTAATAAATAAAATAAAAACGACTAATTACCTTTTGTACTAAGAAAAATTAGCTCGATTAAGATCATATTTTACGCATATAATATAAATAGATGAAATTAAAAAGAAACACAATTACACTATATTAAATTTGTTTTAGAAAATTTATTTTAAAAAATATTAGATATTTTTTCCTCTTGTAACAATTAAAATTTAGTGAAAATGCTTGAGTGGTTGTCAAAAATTGTTTGTGCTGAATTTTAAACAAAAATAATAATAAAAAAAAATATTCGTCGTTAGTATATGTAATAATGTATTTTTATTATGTTGCGTTAATAAATAAATTGCTTTGTTTGCATTGGACATATAAAGTTAATTGTATTAACTAATAATAACATTGATGTTTATACCTAATTCAGTGACTAAAATAAAAGAAAACAAAACATAAGACTATGAACAAGATTTTAAATAATGTTCAATATAATACAAAAGATGAAATAAAATATATAAACAATAAATAAAATGCATGATTTGATATACAAACATTTAATTTACACTATTGGGGAATTCGAATATACGAGATCGAAGTACAACAATTTTTGGATCAGAGAAAACGTTTACAACATTGTTTCCCCAAACATTTACAACATTAACTTTACAAAGGAAAGTAACACAACAGTTTGTAATAATATTTATATATAAATATCAATGTTCATATAGCTAGATAAATATTTATATATATTTATATATATATAATTGTATTTATATTTATATATATAAACACGAACAGTTATATACAAATGGGTGAACGCAATTTTGTAAAATTTTTATCACCAAAATCAATACGAAAACTCAGGTTCACTGCTAAAATGTGGGGAGAAAAAAATTTTTTTTTTTTTAAAAACAAAATAAAAAAAAATTATATTAATATCAAGTACATATTTTAAATTATATTTTATAGGATTTATATAGTAACCAAATTAGAATTATTAAATAAATTCTTTAACAGAAACATACGTACATCGAAAACTCAGAATTGCAAAAACTCAGTCACTCACATTTATAAAAAAAAACTAAAACTTCGTAAACTTTGTGCTTAACGTCAACTGTTACAATGTAACAGAACTAGTATGAAAGTACTATATCTTTGCATTTCATACCGTCACTGTTCATGTTAACGTTCACTACAAAAGAAAAATTGCGAACACAGCAAAAAAGAAACAAATAAACAATGAAACTTGTGTGTGCTACTGGTACACATTTAGCCCACGAATACATTTATTTTGGAATATTTTGTTAATAAAAAAAATATGTATTCCTACTAAATACGTTTACATTTAAAAGGAGAATGCAAGAAAACAAGAAGAACTATAATTCATGTAAATTATAATTTAATAAACAAATTATAAATTATTAATAAATTATAAGTTTTAAACGATGCTTACCTGCATCCTACCGGCTGCGCCAATTTGTCGTGGTCCTATCGGTGTTAATAAAGAACACATAAAGTTGAGGTTCAGTTTTTATTTATTTATTTAGATTCAATTTAAGTCCTAACCCTAGATGCCGTCGCTGCTAGTTGTTGCTTCATATGTTCCGGTACTTCTGATGTCGACCTGTTGCTGCTGATGTTGTTGCTTGCAGATTAGTGGTTGCTGTTATTATTTCCGCTACAGTTGTTTGCTGTTAATTTTTTCTTTATATTTCTGCTGTTCCTCTGCTAATTTCTTTGTTATTTATAAGATAATTATGATCATAACCGAGTCAATTTTCGTTAAAGAATTTGTTTATTGCTGGTGAAAGCACAGTGTCTTGCTCGGAAAGCTTTAAAATTGTTTTGTTGTTTTTGACCAAATTCACATCAGTTCAAAAGGAGAAACAGCAAAGAAAAGTGAAAGATAAGGAAGAAGCTAAAACTTATGTTGATTAATTGCTGCTGAAGAACAACAAGTTTTGGAGTAACGATATTTGCTTTTAACTGTCACAAAACGTTTTCGTTGCTTTTTATATATTTTTAGTTTGTAAAATTGTGCTCTTATGTTTATCAAGCATTTTAGTTCACTTTTATCAACTCTTCAACTTTAGATTGTTTTGATTCAAATTATGGCTGTTTTCTGTTACTTATAGAACTAACTTTATTTCACTTTAAATAATATGTGTTAACTCCTTTCCGGTTGGAGACGTTTTTAAAGTTCAATCGGTAAAAGTTTTATTTCAGAGTTTTCTTCTAAGATAGGGATTAGTTT